ATTATTATTATTATTATTATTATTATTATTTTGTACGTAGAAGTTTAAATTTTTTTTAAATTCAAAAAAAAATTAAAAAACAAATGAATAACCACACAGATTTCAAAAACTGAATAAAAAAAATTTTTTCATTCACACGAATAACAACCGACAGCCAACCATCATCCCTTCCTCCAAAAACTACACCTGACATTTACTCCCAAGACATATAGAAAGGAATGCTAGCTAGGGGCAGGCTCTTGACGAGAAAATTTAAAACAAATGGAGAAAGGGAGCGAGGTTTACTCCTTCTCACACCTTCCCCAGCGGTGAACGTGATCGCAAGGTAACAATACCGGCTACGCGTGTACTTTGAAAACTTTACGGGGAGACACTATTGTGGCGCTTAGAGGAAGGACCCTATGCTAAAGTACTTTATTTCTCCTTACTGAGTGTTTCCATTTCACCTCAGACGTAATCTACCAAGGAATTTCTAATGCAAGAGGATAACCGAGTCCCTAAATAACTACTAATTTCGACATTTCTAGTAGCCGGTAGATTATTCCTTAAACATTTCCCTTACCTTCGAAATAGACAGTGAAAGTCTCACTTAATGTTTAATTTAATGTACCGAGGTTATCTTTCTCTGTCTCCAACAAGACGAAAATATATGGCAGGTGGCACAAGGGGAACGTAAAACGTGTGCACCTTTCGCGGACCTATTTTGACTCTCCGAGTATAAGTAGAAGGCACGAGTAGTTATTGCAGACCTAATTAGAGTGATCGCGGGCTACCACTGTACGTACAACGTTCAATGTCGTCCAAATGCAATTCTTTAGTTCAACCAAAAATCTAGTCAGTAAGGAGTTGTCTCATCTGTTAACCGTAAATACTGTTTTGTTAGCTTTGATGGGTCCGTTCAGGAGCACATTACAACCTCCCCCCCTGTGTCTCACTTCATCCCACCCCTGTCTTTCTCCTGGGAAGAAGAGAGATCCTGTAACAAGGTTGAACATATTACAAGATCAAAGAGCACAAGATAGCGTGATCCGCGAAAACGAGTGGCGAAGGCGCGAGTGGCCTGGGGGTAAATCAGGCTCCTCGCGCGCTTTACCTGAACTAAACCGCCACCCACACAGGCTAAATAAAAGGTGGCTCTGGATAGAAACATATCATTTGGTTGGCCAGATTCATGGGCGAAGATTTTCACTGTTTTAACGCTGACTTCCTTTCCGGATGTATCGCTCGTTGATCTCTGGTGAAAACCTTTGTCTGTAGGTGTCGTTATCGAATCGTTTTGGTTAGAGATCAACCAGTGAATAACATCTGGTAGGAAAGCTGCGTTAATTTAGTGAAAGTCGTAGTCCAAGAATCTGGTCTCTCCTGAACTTCCAGAACTCATCGTGCCAAGGCCCTACCGGCTAAGAAGGACATATAATAATGAAGCAAGGCTGATAACTACGAAGACAACTTAACGCGATAACGACATGATAGAGTCCAAACTGAAAACTAAGAATTACAACCGTGGACAGCTGTTTCGACCTTGTTGAGTCTCGCCAGCAGGGTGTAGCAGCAAAAAATAGAGCAATCAGCTTGAGCGCCAATTGTCTACTTAATGCACAAGGTAATGACCTCAGATGAAACTCAATCCAAATGTTTGCGGATTGGTCAATGTCACATGCAAAACGTATGGCCGTGAACAAATTTCGTTTGCGTTCCCTTGCATTATTTGTAAAAGAAGGACAGCTGGGTCTGGGAACGAGAATGATTACACGCCATGGTATTCTACTAATTATGAAGTGCAAGTCAGCAAAGGAATTAAACGAAGAACCTTGATAATTAGAACCTATTACACTCATCTTTAATCTTCTAAGCCTCGTTTCACGCAAAAAATTGCAAGTCTAGATTCTTGTTATATCGGATAGACGATAATGCACTCGGGCAAACAAACACTGTTTTTGAAGGATGATTCAGCGATCCTTTCGGTGTGTAAAATGAGTGCTTGCGCGACTCACTTACAAGCTCTCGGAGAATAGTAACACCAACTAGCAATGAAGATATGGCTAACCCTGCTACTAATCGGAACCCTCAGGCTTTTCATATGGCCCTGTGGACTCTGGCGTCGGGAACCGTGGGGGTCCTGGGCTATGTCATATTACTGACAACACAAAAATTCAAGGCTTCTTACGGATGGCCTTCTTTTGAAGCGAAAACATACAGACTTGTATCACAAAGGAGGGAACGATATAAAAAACCAGGCACGCAATTCGTGCATGTGTTTCGCTGCGAGATCACTCTCTATAGTCTATATACATCTATTCATAATTCCGCTAGGATAATTTTTTTAGGTGACTTTCTTCACTTTTGCTGAAAGATGGAGGATTCAGTGGTTATGAGTGGCATTTTTAATGTATCAGTCAATTCGAAACTTAGACATCCCCTCCGGGTACCACCCCAAACATTGGACATGAATCAGGAGCAAATGCCCCACCTTAGGATCCCACTAGGTGATCAAATGACCCTACCCCCGGAACACCTGATGGGAAAACTAGTAATGAGAAAGAAAAAAATTCACCCTCGGCAACCCCACTTTGATCTTCCACTGTGTCGTAAGTATTGCTTTTATATCATTAAAATATGTTGTCAAATGCCCTACGTCATGCTTGATCAGTATCAACCACAGAAGTCAAATTCTTGCCCATCCCCCGGGGGGGGGGGCATATCAACTTTTAAAATATCCGGGGTATGGCCGGAAGAGGTGTTGATGTCTTTATTTGTTCGATACATAACTACAGTAGACTGAGTTTGGGAAGCTGACGTTTGGAGCGGCCAAGCGGCCGACCAATTCCTCGATATCGAGGAGGACATCTACTTGGTAGTGTTCAGTTTATGAGTTCGTTGATGACTGAGCAGTCCGATTCTCGAACCCGGCGCCGATTCGCAGACAGATGGGGCATACATGCATCTGAACCCCCCACCCACCCCCCCTCACCCTGGTTTCGTTTCCCAGTGATCGGTTCACCGTAGAAGATCTTCTTGGGTAGCCTGAACGAGGGCATACGAACAATGTGACCATCCTAGCGAAGTTGGTTCTTGATACTTGTGATATTGGCCTCTTCCAATACACTGCTGTTGGTTCCTCTGTCCTGCCACTTGATGTTGAGTATACGGCGGAGACGTTGCTGATGAGACTTCTCGAGACTTAAGAGATGGCAACCACATGTATGTCGTCCAAGTTTCCGAGCCATATAACAAGGTCGGCAGGATGATGGCCTTGTATACCTTCATCTGAAGACCAGTGAAAACCTGGAGGAGGTCAGTCGAAGAGGGGCTCTAAGAAACCAGCATCACCTGGAATACCGCAAAAAGAACAGCCGCGAACAGAGTCCGCTGCTACAGCATTGTAACCGCCCTTTGTTCCACCAGGAACGTAATGGCCCAACTAACTAACTATACCTTCGTCTTGGTGTTGGTATAGATGTTCCTGTTATCAAACACTCGGGTTCTAAGTCCTCCGAAGGTACTACTAGGGGATTTCAGACGGACTTGAATTTCAGCTTCCAGGTCTGCCTTACTTGACAGGCAACTACCAAGATACGTGAAATGTTCTGCAGAGCTGAGGCACTGCTCTTCAACTGTGATCTCTAGCTCTTGTCGCTCTTGTGTTTTGTGTGATGGTTCGAACAAAACTTGTGTCTTCCGAGCATTAAGTGTGAGGCATAGCGTACTGAGGGCATGACTGAAGGCATCCATAGCTGCTTGAAGGTCTTCCTCTGAGTGAGCCTCTAGGGCGTTCTCATCAGCATATTGAAGCCCAAGTATTTCCATGTGAGTAGTTCGTCCTAGCCCTCAGTCATCGTAGGTTGAACAGCATGTTATCCATCCTAAACTCCAAACTTAAGTATTGGCAGGAGTTAACTGCGCACCCTCAGGGCACTGTTTGTTTTAGCAGAGCTCCTGCGCGCTGGTGGCGTGCGAGCGGAGCCCAATACCTCA